ATCACTGATATCAACAATCCGGCAATGATTCTGATCTTCACGTCGCCAGTGTTCTAGAAGAATACGGACGCACAGTTCTCGCCCCCAAGATGGAGAGCCCTGCGTGCCCTAGAAGCGGCAATCAAACACAACTCACCCGGACTGCTCCTCTCTTCAGGTCTTGAGGTTCGCGCTGCGGCCCCATTCGCCTCAGGCAGTCAGCGTCCCGAGCTTCAGACCGCGAGGCCAGATCCCTCAATCTCTGGTGATCCACACATCGTCCTCCCCTGATCCCAGATCCCTCAAGCTTTACGATTCAAGGCGCTGGCGGACTGGCAGCTGCGCCGTCGCAATGTCAACGAATCACCAAAACCGTGCGATGGGATCAGACCATCATGACCGACACGAGATAGTAATGTCCGCCGAGTCTGTTCTTCTTTGGCTTCCGCTCGGTTGCTCTGAGGCCCAATGTCGAAACGGTTTTGATCATGTTGCAACTTGATTCGGTCCAACGTTCCGAGCAAGCGAATGACCTTTTTTTGATGGAATTGACGAGACTTGCGCAAGACATGGAAACGCGATGAAGTGAGTGTGATTGGGTACCAACGACTACTATTACTACGACTCCGCCGCTGTTGCCAAAGATGCAGCAAATGGCTGCCCTGCCGTCATATCTGCGACCCGCGCGGCCTGCAGCAGGTCATCATCACACACCTATGCAGCAGGTCGCACGCTACAAGCCTGCAAGGCTGTCCTAGTCCTGGTGGCTCAGCTCCCTGAATGGGGGGCGACTAACCCGTAACTGGCTGCAGAATGACCACCGGTGCGCGGCAAAAAGTCGGCATCGATATCGATGGCAGCTTGCCGATGTCTCTCAGCGATCCGTCGGCTACTGGCGCCCTCCTTGATGGAATGGAAGACGCGCCACTGATTCTTGAAACTTCAATGGAACAGTTTCCAACTCTGTTCTCTTGTCGACTCGGGAAGTGGACCCATCAAAGGATCCCTGAACCTGCTCCCTTCCATTGGAAGCAACCTGCGTCTTGGCTCTTCACCTGTTTGGACACTTTTGGCTCTGGCTGGTACGATTTTTCTACCAGCCGGAAACTCCTCATTACCGGCCCAAGGGATCTTTGGGGAGAATGGGAGATACGACAGAACAACCCGTCACATCCATTGGATGTTCGGAATCGCCATGGCGAGAAACCCATGGACGGTACTGCGTAGAGTTTGATTTCTGTCTCGACTACGACAGCCCAACCCGACGATCTGGATTGTGATGGTCTGATGACAGCCCGCCAGGACCTCGCACTCGTCCCGTCTCGCCAAACCTTGAATTCTCTCTTGAGAAATCAATGACAAGTTCTCCGAGCTGAATCTTGATGCGTCGAAGGGCTGGCTGACACCGCTTAGACACCGTACTGCCCAGAACCCTCTTGACGTGTCAGGTATAATGAATTAAACCGAGGACCTCACTTGCAAGTGGCCGACGCCACGAGCGCACGTTTGGTCCAGCTCAATCAGTCAGTCTGTACAATGAACAGGCTGCCGGCTGGCCATTTCCCTGCCTGCCACACTGCGGTTGGCCCAGCTGATCTGCGATGGCCATATGGTGTTGTTTCTTCTCGAAGGATTATTGTCCCGACAATGCCGAAAGAAACTGCGCCGTTGGCTGATGGCGTCCAGCCAAGGTCGACAACGTGTAATAACACAATCCCGCCTTTCTTACGGGCGACCAGCTATCCGTACTCTGCGGCCAATTCGGTCTACCACTCAATTGTCACACTCACACCCAACTGTCGCATGGGGTAGCGTCAGACATCCTTTTTGTACAGAGATCGGGTCCAATTAGGTGATTCGTGGGGTTACGGGGAACCAGGTTGCGGACATGTACCCGACTTCACGCCGTTACCACTTGACATGGGCAGTTGTCCACGATAGCAACGCTTAGTGTATGCGCAGAATTCCACCGCTGATGATCGGGGACCAAAGTTTTTGCAGCAGCCATGAAATCATCGCCTCATCGAACAGATGTGAACAAATTCTTTCAGCAACAACTCAGGCGGTGCCTGTCTTTCCCTTGACTTTGATTCCGAACAGCAAAGAGCAGCGACCTGACTTGGAAACAGTGACCAACACCAGACCAAATCGAGGACATATTCCGGCGCAACGCTCCAACGGTCTACCTTTATGCAGCCTCCCACAGTTTGCTGACGAAATTAATGGTTCTGGGCAGCGGGAAACATGGGGGTAATCCCGCTTGGCTGCTCTTGGACTCGCCGCTTGGGGACCACTCCAATAAAGCACTAAGGCTGCATGTCACCAATTGCACCGGGGCTAATTTTCTGGAAGCGCCGCGGTCCGTCATTGCGACTCGTACGACATGCTGATCGAAATGGCAGTACGCAATCGTAGCCAGTGGGTTTGGCCCCTCTGGATTCCGCTCTGCCATGGCGCCGCTCTGGCAATCTGAGAACGGCGGATCCGATACTTTTCGCAACACGGAAGGAAGCTCGAGGGACCCCGGGAAGATATCACACCCACCGGCTCGGATCTCGGGGGGCCACTCGACTCGGCAGACTAATAAGGCGCTGCCGAAAGCCCGGAATGCGTTGTCGGAGGAAGATCGGAACGTTGCATTGAACAACAGATGACAGCCTCGAGAGACTCTTGCTCGCCCAGGAGTAGCCGAGAAGGAAGAGGTTGCTCGTCCCCATACTATGGGGCCTCCAGCCACATATACTGCTGGCTCAAAGCTGTCGTCGCCCGTCGGGCCAGCCTCGTTCGTGATGGCAGCAGCAGCAGGTGATGCAGGTGAGAGGAGGGTCACGTAAGAGAGGTTGCAAACCACGCATGCACCGACATGCAGGTTCTTGCATTGGTCCTTCGACATCACACTTGAGAAGCCAGTCAGAGCTGACCAGACATGGGCACATGGCATCCAATCCAGCGCTTGCAGATTTGGACACACGGTTCATGGGAAGAGCGTTCCCCACGTCCACTACCTTTTGCATCAGGCCCCGATCAGGGACGAAAGGGGGGGCACATATGCCATCTCGGCCCAACCTTCTTGAGCCTTTCCAGGTCGTCTTCCTTTGAGTGTGGAAACTCAAAAGGTGGGGTGCGAGTCGACCAATTCAGTAGCCCCCCCGTAGATTTACTCACTATTTGCGTCGAACTTCGGATGAACCCGGCTGATGACATGCTTTCTCCCTTTTGATTGAGAATACTTTCTGGTTTGTTGTTATTTCCCCGCGTCTAACTTTCTTCGAGCACTAGCCACATGCCAACTCATCTCTAATGGCTTTTGCGTGTGCTCGTGCATAGCATGCCGCAGACCCAGGGTGGGTGTTGATGCTTATATCGCCCTCGGCGGGTTGAGGGAAAATCACTGATTTGGTCTGTGAGTAAAGTGGTTCGAATTCCGAAAGCTCACGATTGAAGAAGTAGACGACGGGTCTGAACTGGGCACGCACAAGTCGTTGTGTCCGTGAGGTTATTCTATCATCGTTTTCCTTCCCTCGGTGACACCTCTTCAACCTCATTCGCGCACAGAAGCTTCCAAACACCTTTTTATCACTCAATAGCGGCCTGGCAAGCTTGAAAAACTTGCATAAGGCTCCAGGCATGAAGTTCTCCTGAAGGCCGTTCTACAATGACTAGTCAGTCTACCGATAGTAGGCCTCTTCGAACATGGAGTGAAGCTGTAACAGTTTGAACAGATTTACTTAAAAACCGATGCGCAGGCCGTTAGACATTGTATACATCGGGCCCAAATTTTGAGCCTCAGATGAAGATTCTTGTCTATTTGTATCGGGAGTCAAGACCAAGCTGTCATTTGGACTAGAGTCATGTAGCCAGCCTAGGAACCGTGAAAGTCTACTTTTTACAGCCAACATCCCACAGATTTGTCTTTGGTCTGCTCAACTTTGTCTCTGGTTATATTGTCTCGGTCTTGGAGGGCGGTCTTCGGACTCCGTGGTGCTTGTTTCGATCTAACCTCAGAATCACTTGATGAAATCTCTGTCGAGACTACTTACCTGTAGGGCTGTGGTTTGGACGCGCTGGAACTAAGCCCCCACCCTCCTCCCTCCCTCTCATCCCAGAAGCCATTAAATTAGGAGATGGGATGGGATGTGAGAATGGATATCGAGGCTGGACTTATTTCTTGGTAGAAATGGCATTCAGATTGTTCATGTAGAAGCCTACACGCCGACGAGGGTCTATTGAGAATACCGACTTTTAGATATGGACTACTGCTATCTTGGTCGACGAGAGGAGAAAGATGATACTGCTATTGAACTGCAGCTACAGATGGAAGTTAATCTCGGCACCCATCTCTCGATTGCGCAGTACGTCAAAATAGGAGCAGAGCATCTGGAATGCTATAACAAGAATAATGTATCTGTCCGTAAGATTGGCTGCAGTGTTGAAAACCAGGCTCATGCTAAGAGAAGAGCTTCATGAGACTGCGGATCTCTTGACAAGGCATACCGTATTCAATCGAGATCCATTGATGGTAAGTTGTAGCGAGCTCCTGGTACTCGTCATGGATTTGGTCTTGTATACAAGTATGTGGTAGGATAAGAAATAGACTCTTTTCGTACTCGTCCTCAAAAGGTGGCGTGATAAGGTATATATTCTCAAATACTTCTTGGGTTAGGCATATAGGTGTGATTTATGAGGCATGCTGAATGGAAAGAACAGGCAGTTCTTTCAATTTGGACTTGTGCCAGTGGGTTTTCTTCTTTCTAAGGATGTTTTATTTCCCATGCAAGGATGCTTGTGCTGACTATTGTTTCCTGGCCGCATGATGTGATCAGGTGGGTGGAGTATTTGAGGTAAACCTTGGACGGGGGCGTTTGTCTCTTCGTTTTTTCGTTTGTTCCCAGTATCTCCATGGATAGGTAGTGAGTAACTATTACATTGTAAACTGTTATATATAAAAAAAGAAAAAGAGGAAATGAGTAAAAGATGGTACAAAACAATAGGGTACGGAAAAAGGAAAAGAAAAAAAATTGTACCGACGGCGGGACTTGCACCCGCAACCTTTGGCTGAGACTCCCTCGGGGAAGAGGTAGGAGGCCAATAAGCTACTATTGCTCCACGACGGCGTGCTTGTAACCATTCGACCACCGGGTCTTTTTACTTTGTTTGTTGGGTTTCAGATGACGGGAAGGCGCGTTAAGAATGGGAGAGGGAGGGTGGTGGGCGGTGTGAATGTCTGTGTAATGTGTATATTCCGTTTGTTGATATGGTTAGGCTGCAACATTTTCCCTAAAAGATCCTGGGATATAGAGGCGAAGGAAATTGCAGAAAATGGGTTGTCTGTTTTGATTTGATGAATTATTGGGAGTTTGGAAGGTCTGAGATTTCTTCGTGATATTTCAATGATGGTGTTATCGACAGCTGAGTAAAACACTAGGGACAAAAGGTTAGTGTCGATATCCTGTTTCAACGCCGACACAAGTGATCACTCACTATCTGATGTCATCTAAGTCTAAGTCTGATGCGGGAACTTAACTGGCGAAGAATCTCACCAGCCGATATAAAACAGATTGCTACAGTATTGTCATACCCCAAGCAGGTCCTCTTAACACAATGCTTCTTCTGTATCGAGAGAAGCACCACTCTAGGCAGAGCAATTCCTTTCAAACATTCTGATCCTCTTGGAAAACAGTTCAATGACGAGAAGGACTAGGTCTAAACCTCCACTTCAAGTAACTTTCCAGCTACCCTCTCACTCATCAAAATCGCAAGCATTAGCAATATGCCCCACGGCCTCAATATTCTGCTCCAAATCCTCAACCTTGGCCCTCGCCGTCGCAACAGCAGCCTTACCCAACGGAAGCCTCAGAAACCTCCCTCCCTTCCCCTCCCCCATCTCCTTCTCCTTCTCCCTCACCTCCACGGCCAACCCCTCCCCCGTAACAAAATCAAACATCTGCCGCGCAGCCCTCACCGGATCCCCAGCCTGCCTCCCACCACCACCTTCCAGATACCTCAACACCCCTTCCGCCGCCGTACCTCCATAAAACGCACTCATCCGCCCCGTGGTAGGCGAGAAGCCGGGAAGCCGGGCTGGTCCCGGAATAAGGTCCGAAACGGGCCCGGTTCGACGAGTATAACGCGGATGCCAAAGTCGGCGTACTCGGCCGCCAAAGATTCCGAGAGGCCCTCGACGGCGAACTTGGAGGATGAGTAGGCGGATACGGCGGCGAGGCCGCGGAGGCCGCCCGTGGAGGAGATGTTGATGATCGTCCCCGAGTGGGCGGCGCGCATGTGCGGGAGGACGGCTTGGGTTGCGCGGATTGTACCGAAGAGGTTTGTGTCGAAGAGGGTTTGGAAGTCGCTCAGGCTGGGGGGTCTTTTCGTCAAATCATGCTGCTTCCGTAAATACTTCGTTGGGGAGTTTTTTTTATTTTTACCTGAGGTCCTCGAAGCCGCCGGCGATGCCGTAACCGGCATTGTTCACGAGTACGTCGATCCGTCCGTGGATTCGCGCTGCGCTGTCTACCTGTTGTTAGACGTTGTCATTTGTGACGTCTAGGGCAATCCAGTGGCCGCCTGCTTGCTGGATCTCCTCGATGAGATGGGCCGTCTTTTCTGGGGAACGCGAGGAGGCGATTACGAGGTGACCCCTTTTCAGGACTTCGCGGGACAGTTCTAGGCCGAGGCCTGAGGAGCAGCCTGTGATGAGCCAAACTAATTGGGTCATTGTTGGCTTTGATGAAGAAAGAAAGGGAGGGGGGAAGAAGGGGGAGTGTTTGGTTTCGCGGGCAAACAGCGGAGACAAAGTGAAAGGAGATGAGATTTGGAAATGTTCTTTTTTTTTTCTTCTTAATTTCTAGGTAGATTAAAGTAAAGGAACTGACACTCGAGTTCCGAAGGTCTTCTACTTTGAATAAGGCACTTATTTCGTTACATCACAGCTTGCTTCTCCGTGAAAAGTTGGGCAATGGTGTAGCTATCTTCTCGGACTTAAAAAAAAAGGAGGCAACGATCGGGCTCTTCGAGGGGCCCGTTACCATCGAATCGATTCGAAAGCAATTTTTGCCGTCTCGTTTGACGAAACGTGCAGATTTACGGCGAATACTTGCCAAGTCTGGCGATATGTTGTGAGGACTAGCATGTCGGACGAGACCGGACATATGGCTGCGAGTCAGCTAGTTGCTGACTGGGGCAAAGCAAGACTACAACAAAAACACCACATGTGGATTCGATGACAAGTCTTAGCTACGGTAAATCCGTATATACTTTGGCTTCTGTAACGTCATAGTCGCAAAGTCACAATGATGAGAGTAGCAATCCAAATGCCATATAAAAACTTCCGCATCTACAATAAAATGGATCATCACAATCCAATCTCTCAGCTCGTTCCCTGGAACAATCCAACAACCCATCCAACCAAACACCTCCTCCTCCCTCTTTCCTGAATCACATCTCGTCACAATGGCAGACCGCTACATCGCAATCCACGCCAACCCGCAAGGTCCAGGCGACGCCCGCCCAACAGCAGAACAAATCGTCCGCGACGAGAACCTCGTCCCCGCAGGCCTCGCCTCCAAAACCGCCCTCATCACAGGCTGCTCCGCCGGCATCGGCACCGAAACCGCAAAGGCCCTCTACCTCGCCGGCGCAACCCTCTACCTGACGGCCCGCAACCTCGCCAAAGCCCGCAAAGCCCTGGGTGACGAGATGGTGAATGACACAGCCCGCGTCCACCTGCTCGAACTCGACCTCGAGTCCTTCGCCAGCGTCCGCGCCTGCGCCGCCGCCTTCCTCGCCAGCACAGACAAGCTCGACATCCTCATCTGCAACGCGGGCGTCATGACGCCCCCCGAAGGCCGCACAAAGGACGGCTTCGAGACGCAGTTTGGCACAAACCACCTCGCGCACTTCCTCCTCTTCAACCTCCTCCAACCCGCCCTTCTCAAAGCCGCAACCCCATCTCACACCTCCTCTTCTTCCTCCTCCTCCCGCGTCGTAATCGTCTCCTCCGTAGCCCACCGCTTCGGCCAGCCAAACTTCTCAAACATCAACTACGAAGGCTGCTACGATCCCATGGCAACCTACGCCCAAAGCAAAACCGCAAACCTCTGGACCGCAAACGAAATCGAGCGACGGTACGGAAGCCAGGGCATCCATGCCCTGAGCCTGCAGCCCGGAGGCGTCATCACGGAGCTGATGCGCCACATGCCCGAGGAGCAGCAGGGCGGCTTCGCCAAGCACCCGTACCTCTCCAAGATCTTCAAGACGGCGCCGCAGGGGGCGTCGACGTCCGTATGGGCCGCCACGGCCGCCGCGCTCGAGGGTAAAGGTGGGGTGTACCTCGAAGACTGTCAGATTATCGGCCCTTGGGATCCGGCTGGGGAGCCGTGGGGGCCCGGGTACGGCGAGCACGCGTATGATGTTGAAAAGGCTACTTTGCTTTGGGAGAAGTCGCTCGAATGGGTCGGTTTGTGAGGTAGTGTTGGCTTGATGCGCTGAGATGCGAAAGAATGGCAGAATAGAAGAAGAGAGAAATTACCCGATGATCCTCTTGGCGAATACCTCACTGATGTTTCGTATGCCCTTCATTAGGTGCCGTGTGCATGAGCTGCTTTATAAGACTGACAGACAAGAAGCCTCCAGGCCCCATTTACGTCGTTAGTTACCATACCCCAGTGAAGAAGAACACCTCCAGATCTTGCCAGCATACTTAACAGAACAGAACATCATGTACATTTGTCCCCCTGAGTATACTACACTGAACCTTGCATCAGACTCCTTGAAAATGCTGCCCTTTGCCGAATACATGTACAGTAGATCGAATATCAACACAAAAAAAGGGGCCCTTCATACAGTGCCTCACAATAGACTCTATCTTACTGTTTTACACATCAAAACTGTCTCACGCCGCTTTCTTCTCAGCAGGCACCTTCTTCTTCAATGATCCAGGCGGCGTCTTGAGACCGGCAAACACCGCGGCAGCCACGACAGCCATACCCGTGGCACCCATGGTGTACGCAACTTCGCGGCCAGCCCACCAGTACACGCTGGTAAAGAGAATCGGCCCCAACCCACGTCCAAGCTGGCCCCAGCTTCGCAGGATACCAAGCTTGCCGCCGCGCTCGTCCTCGGCAGCCTCAAAGCTGCTCAGGGTGTTCAGACCCGAGACGACGGTTGCGGATGTGACAGCGAGACACGTTGCCGCAGCATACAGCCCGCCAGTGGTTGTGATCCGGCCCAGGAGGATAAAAGATGCCAGGCAGGCCACGACACCAGTACGCACGGAGAGTAAAGGTGGGAGGCGGCGGGTGACACCGCCCTGAAGAATAGAGGCGACGAGACCAACGAAACCGAGGAGGCGGCCGTTCTTGGCGGAGCCGAAGGCGAAGAGCTCGTAGGTCATGAAGGAGAGGGAGGACTCCATGCCAGAGAAGAAGAGCAGGAAGACAAAGTGGACGGCATTGAGGAGGAAATGCGAGTTCGTTCGGACCAGGGGTGTCGATTTCGGTTTCGTCGTGCTCTTGTCATCCTTCTTCGCGCCGCGGCCCTTGCCAGTCAACGAGGGGAGGGTTTCGGGGAGGCAGAAGTAGAGGTAGACAGTCTCGGTCAGGATGAGGAACAAGCTGAAGCCGGCGGCCGTGGCGAAGGGGTTCTCCTTGACGGTGCTGATGCTGCTCAGCCAGGCGCCCAGCCCCGGACCAAATGTGAAAGCGATAGAGAAGCAGGCACCGATGAGGGCCATGGTGGAGCCTCTGCTCTGCTCGTCCGAGATATCCGTCGCCATGGCGGTAGCGAGCTGGACGTTGCCCTCGGACAGGCCGCCTACGACGCGGGAGGCGACGAAGGTGCGGAAGTCGACGGCGACGACCCACAGGAGCACAGAAAGAATGTTGCCGCACATAGAGGCTAGCAGGGCGGTGCGGCGGCCGTGACGGTCTGAGAGGTGACCGATGAGAGGGGAGGCGATGGCCTGGAGCAGACTGAAGAGGGAGCCAAGAGCGCCGCCGAGGAGAACGATATCATAGCGGGAGTCGATGGGGCGAGCGAAAGCGGCCTTGTAGCGGTTCAGACCGGACAGGACAGACTGGAGGAGGGTGGCGGGGCCGGTTGCGTTTGCGATCTCAGGGCCGACCTCGCGGTCGCGGTAGAATTCGAGTAGCTTGGGGAAGAGCGGGAGGATGAAGGTGAAGGAGATCTGGAGGAAAGATGTTTGTTAGTTTTGGGGGAGACAAGTGGCGAGAGATAGAGGGCCAGAATGGCTCGAGGGTGTGGGATAATACCAGGTCGAGAAGCAGAGAGATGGCGATGACCCTGAGCACACGCTTGCGCGTGGAGGGGTCGACTGCCGCCGAGGGCGACGGTGATGTCGCTGCCACTGCCATTGTCACGGACCTGCGCTGATGGTCCTGCGTGCAAGAGCGAGGTAGATCGGATCGTGTAGGACGTTGTATTCGGTGTTCGTGAACAAGTGGACGTTGTATAGTGATCCAGAGAATGAGCGTGGGGTAGTTGGAGAGAGACAGTCGAGTCGAACAGGGGAGAAGAAGAGAATCAGCCAAGGCAAGAAAAGAAAGGCCAAGTCTGGATTAGGCCGGGGACTCGGGAATTGAAGACGAGAAAGCCGAAAACGAAGAAGAAAAGAAGAATAGTATGCAGAAGTAGGTAAGGTAAGAAAAAAGAGTATCGAGGTGGGACGACAGGTGACAACACAACAAGAAGGTACGGAGTACGGATGGACGCTGGAGGGGAACGGGACCACTCAGTAAAAGGAACAACGTGGAAGTCGCGGCGCGCGGTGTCCAAGCTCCCCCGTCATTGCCGTCGGCCGGTGCATTGCAGTACTTCGTACCTATCCGTGGTGGTGGAGAGAGTGCAGAAACATGCTCTTTCTGCCCTTGTCCCCTGAATTGGGGCCATGGCAATGGTGGTGATCCAGTCGGCCCAGTCCGATGTTTCAGGGTCAGGGGCTGACGCTGGCTGCCCCAATGGCTGGGACTGGGTGGGGCCCACCCGACCTTCAGTGCTCCTGTGCTCCTGCACCTTGCGGCCCACGGGTTTACTGTACATACCTTAGGTAAGGTACCTTACTACGTAGGTCCTGCTGCGCTAAACATCGGACGGCGTCCACGCCGGACCGGGGATTTGCTGTCTTCTCCCCCACCCCGGACTCGGCCAAGAACGTATCCGTAGTCAGCTGCTATTTGGGGTAATCTCATTGGACGCTGCTTCAATAGGCACTTTGACCTCCACACCGGCAACAGGCGCGAACTTGGACCTCACTTAGCTTCCATCCTCTCCAGGTATTTCTTCTTCTTTGCATTTACGAGAATCAATCCGATCTCTGGATACCTATTTTATTCATCTATGCTCTTCCACTAGATTAGGCTCTACGATACTGCCATTCAATCCCATCTCAAATCATCAGATGACAAAGCCTGCCGTCAGCATTACCGTCCATGCTTCGCATAGTGCTGGGAGATGACGGGCAGCCGAGGCCAAGACCTTTGTACTTGTCCTTCCCGAATTGACGCCAAATTCTCAGACTATCGCAACTCTAAAGGGCCCGGCGATGGAGCAATGTCACACTGACAAAGACGGCAATCCGCGTTTCCCGAGCTTGCTCAGCCACCAATTACCCATCCGAATCTCATATGCCCAAATTGCAGCACATCTCGCGCTTGTTGAACAAGACACCGGCACTGGAGTTATCCGTTGCACACTAACGATGAACGCCGCTGGTATCGTCAGTCAGTGCTGTCTGTCAAACACCACGCGGATCCCCTTGGATTCCTAGATTTGCTCGTCAGTCACCACACACTCAAATCCTTAACTGCGATCCGTCAAAAAACATACCTTGTAAGGAATCGGAATGAAGTAGTCCGCAGCCATTTCGCAATCCCTCACCGTCGTCTCAAATATCCTGAGCACGCCCACATCACCCGCCCGCCGGTCCTCTCCACCCTTCCCGCTCCCGTCCACGACACCCGCTCCGCCCCACCGCCGGAACAGCTTCGCAAGCATGAGGTACAACTCGGCCTGCGCCAGCGCCATCCCGAGGCACACCCGCGTGCCCCCGCAAAACACGGTCAAATACTTCTCCAGCCGCTCGCCGTCCTCCACCCACCGCTCCGGATGGAACCCAAACGGGTCATGATAAATATGCGGATCCGTCTGCGTCTTGTACGTGCTCATCCCGATCACCGTCCCCGGCGGGAGATGCACGCTCCTACCGCTGCCGTCCTTGTCGTGATACACCAGCGTCTCGTCGGGGCACACCCTCGCCAGCCGCGAACTCGTCCCGAACCCGAGCCGCAGCGCCTCCTTGACCACACCTCTCAAATACGGCAGGTTCTCCAGCTCCGCGAGCGGCACCACGGCATCCCGGTCCGGAATCGCGGAGAACAGCTCGTCGCGCAGCCGACGCAGCGTCGAGGGCCGGTTGAGAAGGTGGAACACGGCCAGCGATAGCGTCCACGACGTTGTGAGCGTGCCGCCCTGCACCAAAATCTGCCCGTCCTGCGCGAGCCGCGAGACCGTCTTCTCGGCGGGCGGCAGGAGCTTGGAGGAGAGCATGTCGTGGAAGATTGTCGGGTGGCTGACGTCCAGCTGCCACTTTTCCGTGTGCTGCGTGGCTTTGATCTCGCCGATTTGGTCCTTGATGTCGTTCTTCATCTTGAGGAAGCCGCCCCAGCCTGTGTGTAGATGTGACGCGTAAGTGGTGAGCCAAAGCGAAAGACGACGATGCATGGTAGGGGAGAAAAACTGACCCGGAATGAAACGTCCGGAAAAGGATTCTGGTAGTGCGTTGACCAGCGTCAAGGCCCAGTTCATGTGCTTGATCATGGGCCCTAGATGCGTGCCCATGAGGAGGTTATCAGTCACCACCTTGCCAAACGTCTCGTCCTCGACTGCGGAACTCCCAATTAGCTTCCGCCACTGATGCATGCCAACCATTCAAGAGCGTGCTACTCACTGAGGTGGTCACTCCTAGCGAAGCTGTATTCGTTAATGACATCTGGTCCATCGCGTCAGTGACTGAAAACTCCAGATCCATTCGGCAAAAGAACACATGGGCCAGGGTTTTGAATTTACCATTGGTAAAGGCCGAAAACGGGTACATGACATCCAATGGCTCCTTAGACCTCTCGCTGAGTTCCAGAAGACGGTCAAGCAGCGCATCAACCCGTTCCTCAATGACAGGCTGCAGCTTGCGGACCGTCTGCGTCGAGAAAAAGGGATTCAGCGCCGCGCGCCGAAGTTTGTGGTGATCATGGTTCACAGTTGCCAGCGCGCTCTCTTCAGTTCCTGTTAGCTCATGATATTTGCCTTCACTAAAGAGAGAGTAGGCTTGATGATATCACTTACCAGGAGATCCAAACTAAATCAGTCCACGTTAGCAAAAAAAGACGTCTAATTTCTTCTTCCCAACCTTACTCTCAGGCAAAGGGGGATCAAAGTCACAACATTACACACCTGCTGCGTATAAAACCCCCACTTCTCCCTAACCCTCCCCGGTCCCGTATACAGCTCCGAAAAGAACTCCGGGTCGCCGACGTGCACCTCCCACGGGCTGATCCGCACCACGGGCCCGTACCGCCGGTGCAGCTCGATGATTTTGAACGTGTACTGCCCGCCGAGAACAATGTCGTAGTAGAACTCGTACAGCTGCGTCAGCGCCGCGAGACGCGGACCGGGGACGTGGGCGATGGGACTGAAGTAGAGGCGTCGGACGCCGAGCTGGAGGGCGTAGAGGAGCCAGAGGAGGGAGAGGAGTGCTGTGAGTTGTGTCGGGGTGAGGGCGAGTGTGGTCGGGGCGAGGTCTGAGAGGAGGGTTTGGATCGCCATCTTTGAAGTCGCTTCCGTGCGCTGGTATCTCTTTGCGATGGGAAGCTGCTGAAGCACGGGAGAAGATGCAAAGTCGCTTTCTGTCTCTCTGTCTCTCAGCTCGAGCTGTATCTACCCGAGAGGCCGGGTCCCGTAGACCATATAACAGACCACCACCACCACCACCACCTCGCTCCACGCCGCCGCCACTACCATCACCTCACTTAGCAAACCGCCCGTTCGTCCCCCAAACTACTGCGTGCCGGGGATACGTGCTTAACGGGGAAGAAAAAGTGGCGCCCAGCTTTGAACAATGAGGTTTAGCAAACCAGCCTAGCGCCTGCCGCTAGTACAGGGTGGTGGTGATGATGGTTGATGGGGAACAAAACTAGCTCTCCTAGCTGCGCTGCGCTGAAGCAGCTTTTTTTTATTGTCGTCACCTTGGCGGGAAGAAGATTGGGGGAGAAAGTGGGCAGTCTAAAAGTACGGATACAGATAGCAGGCCCCTCCTCTTTCGTTTTGTTTTTGCTGCCCGCTAGTTGTCCGTGTCGAAGAGGAAGAAGAAAGTTTTCGGGTGTGTCCATTGATAGACTAAGGTAGGTTTTCTTGCGGCCGAATGTAGCGTGGTGAGGTGTCCGAGGTCCGGGAAGTATGCCATAGCTTCGGGTACCCCAGTTGAGTAAGAATATACCGGACGAAAACTGTCAATGGCTTTCTTCGGGGACACACACTCTCTCTCTTCCTCGTCTGTATGGCATCTTGCATCTGGTCTCTGGCATCGTGTTTCGTCAAGGACACGAGATCTTGGATGGATCGTGTTTGGCGGTGAACATGGGGTTTTTGGAACCCATCGATGCTTCGTGTATTGTTTGCCTGTGCCTCCAATCACGAGGAGATTGTTATCCTAATTCATTAATGGAAATCGAATCTCGGGGTCCTGTAAGGAAATTATACCACAGAGCAATAGGCCCTGGGAGATGAGTCGTTACACTTAGATCTCACCGTCAAAAGATCGGTCAGATCGGATCTAGCCAAGAGAGACTTGTGCCGCCAAACATCAATCCTTCATGTACGGGGCCAGAGGCCCTTCATCTGAAGATTGAAAGAATGAGGTGTAGTTTGCCATGCTAGACTGAAACCAACAGAAACACACAAACAGAGCCTCATGGGTTCTAGCCTCTAGATTGAGAGCAAAGCAAGCAAGCACCGCCACAGAGGTGCAGCACTGCCTACGTAAAAGACGGCGTACGTGAGGTCTTGAAAGCTGAGTTACCAACAGGCCCACCACCGGCCCACGTTTCCTGGGGTCCGGATGAAGTCGAAATTGACTTCCCAATCGGCAAACACCATGTCCGTATGGTGGATTCTTGAAGAGAAGACCACCGTGATCCGGCATGGGCATCTTACTTCGGAGGGGGGCTTTGCAACGTGGGGTTCGCCGCCCGCCCGCGGAAACCCGTTTGCATGGAAGTTCAGAGTTGGCTTACGGGAGGAACAAGCAGAACCACATGATACCAAATCTCTCCTACGTAATCAACGCAGAGCTCCCCTATTCCTCGTGCATAAATCTTGATTTATCTTCGGCTCTGACCGCAGTATGCGCCTTCTTGTCTTCGAGGATAGCTTGAGGCACCAATGAAGAATCGACCCTGCCAAGTTGCCGAGGCTTCAATGACGAGAGAAGGGGAAGAACCAATGGCATCCATCGCCGTCTTGGATGATTTGAGCGGTAGAAATGACGGCATACTATGTACAACAGCAGGCGATCGATGCTGTGCCGCAGACTACGGGAAGGAGGAACTTGGGAAGAGAGAGGAAGACAGAGAGAGAGAGAGAGAGAGAGAAGAGGTCCCCTAAAGTCTAGACCAATCAAGTTCCAAAAGTTCAACGTGTGCCGGGCGACGATCTGCAATGTGTGTACAGGAAGAGCGTCACTTGAATGACGTCGCGACCGTCTTCTCGTCGCTTGCCATTCCGATCGTCTCTCGCTCTCCTTCTCTCTACGGATACTCCAAGGTTCCAAGAGGCCTGTGAGATTGTAGATGCCATCACTGCCAAGGATCATATTGTCGATGCCTAGAGGTGGGAACATCTTCGTAAATTGTTCCCTGAAAGAAGAATAAGAGCATTGGCGCTGATTACGGATTACACTATTATAAGAGCGGAGTCACGTCAAGCACATGGAGAAATAAGCTTCCAGGGGACATGGCAGTTAAGCACGACCTTACCTTGGTCCACTCCACTGGGATTATGCCCCCTGTACCAAAGGTACGATAAGCTCCAAGGAGTCACAGCCCTCCGGTTGCCTCCATGGAGCTCCAGTCTCCAGAGCAGAGGGGAGGATAGCACATGGCCGCTCCGTAAGGCTGATTGAGAGCTGTGCCAGGTCCCCTACTATTGATGCTGCCAACTGGGGGTCTGGGTCCTGGTCTTGGACAGTCTCCAGGTTCAGGAGGGGTCATCCCTCCTCCAGTAGCGCTTAACCATGCCCCCCTGGGCAGCTTCGGACCTTGGTAGAGCAGCACCGCCCGATACTGTGGTGACCACGATGCCCAAAGAGGAATTATCAAGTCGCGACTTCTTCGACTCTTCCTCTCTTCTATGGAGTATCTCGTACCTACAGACTACAGGCTATTACCCATAAGCTAGGACGACGCCATGGAAGAGCCCCCCTAGCGGGCTGTCATGGTGAGATTAACCCACGCTACGATGACCTTCCTCCGCACCGTTGTACCTCCTTTTGCGCGCAATTGGACGAATGGTATCATCTACGAGACTACGGCTGAACTTTTGCCAAGAACTAGACTAAGAAAATCCTCAATCCCACCTCGTCGCGTCGTCGAGTTGGTCTCCTCGCTCTTCATCACCAGCCAGCCAGCCAGCCAGCATGGCAGAGAGCCGTGATCGTCGCCGTCTGCTGGGCCAGCTCATGACATCTTCCAAGGCACTTTCTGCTGGACAAGTTAAGCTTGTTTTCCACTTCCGGGAGGGGGGCGATTGATACGCGCCTTGCGCAGCTGCGCAGCCTCTCAGAAAAAAGGTCGAAGATTGCAGGCCAGAAATGACGAGAGAGGGGTCCGCCGCCCAACCAACCAACTCAACCCCCGCCTCAAGCCCCAGACTATCTGTATCTGTACGGTGTGTGACGGTGTAACTAGCAGGGCTCAGATCAAAGGACAATGTTCGGTGGCCTGGGTATGTGCTGGTGGTGGTGGTGGTGGTGGTGGTGGTGGTGGTGGTGGTGGGACTAAACCGCCGGCCACCGGTGAATGCATGTAAGACGGGCGGGCGCCGCTTGCGGTGTCTCTAATACTTAAAGACTTGGCAGCCTACTGCCCTCTCTCACCTTCCCTTCAGCCTTGAATCCAGTCTTACTTTACTCCTGTACACATTTGCTCTATCATATCTTCCCCTCAGTTTCGAGTCTTTCGTGTGACTGAGTCTCTCATAACCAATCAGGTATCCTCCAACGAGGAAGAGAACCAATTGAACCTCCAACAACCATCTCACTTTAAGCGCCGCGGGATTACAGCAGTGAACAGCAACACCAACACACCAACAAAATCCAAAAAACCCAAATGAACTTCATCCTCGAGTCCCGCGTCCCCAAAGGCGGTGGCTCAAGCGGCAGCCGCGGCTCCAGTGGTGGCAGTAAATCCTCGAAATCATCCAAATCAAAGAGCGGCAAGAACAAGTACAAAGGCGGCGGCCGCGTCGGTGCCGCCGGCGGAGGCGGAGGAGGTGGAGGAGGAGGAGGCGGCTTCAGCGCGCTTCCCCTCTGGGCCCGGATCCTCATCATCGTCCTGATTGTGTGGTTTGTGCTGTTCCTGGTCTCGCTCGCGTTTTATACGGTCAAAGGTAAGACCCCTTCTGTTGAAATGTTGAAAGAGTATTGAACGGCCAAGTTTGACTTACAACGGCAAACAGAACTCAAGCGCAAAAAGGAAGGAAAGAAATTCCGCATCGGCCACGTCCTCGGCCACGCCCTCCTCGTCTCCACGGGCCTCTGGATCCCCTTCACTCTCTACCGAAAATTCATTTCTCGGCGCAAGGACAAGTCCGGCGGCGGTAGTGACGGCGACGAGACCAAGCGCTCCGGTGGCGGCACGTACGCCAAGATTGAAGAGGGCAGAAGGTCCGATGACACCGGTACCCGAGACTCTTGGTGCGCCGGGGCCGGAGCCGGAGCTGGCACCCACAACAACAACAACAACGCGGACAGCAAGTACGAGCCCATGGGCTACACACCCCATTATCGTACCCCGTCACCTGCTCCGCCCCCGGTGGCCGGTACTGCGCCGGCTCCCACCGGCGCGGCGGCCGAGTATTACATGCCGCAGCCGCCTTCTCAGACGGCGCCGACTCAACACCCGCCTCAGTATAGTTAAAGGATGTCCCGGTTCCGACTATATCACGGGCCACTATCAAACGATAATGGCTACTTGGATTTCTACGATGATACGCCTCGTTTCAATGTTATGCTATTTTTCTTCTCTTCTCTGGATCGATACCCCTTTTCCTTCAATCTAGCGTTTCTTGCTCTTGTGTTGGTATGAAAGAATGTATGTGCCGACGTGTATCACAAAATAGTACATAGAAAAGAACTTTGAACTATACTGCTCAATTCTTCTTTTGCGTACATCAAGTACTTGAGTCTCATCTCTCGATGCCACAACCCACGCACCTCCAATATCCATCTTCTCAATAACAATGGACCGGTCTCTCGCGTCTTGTTCTCTAGCCAGTCGTAGCATCTCGATGGACGGATGACGGCGTGAGCGCTTTTTTTCACCCATCTGCGAGGTCAGAGGGAGGCATCGCGGCCAGCGCTCTCTCAGCTCACCGCTGGTTTCAACTCATGTGGTTTTCTGTTCAATCTCGTCAGCGCGTCGATTCATTTCGCTTTGTTCTCTCTAGCACTTACTCCGCGCACCCCGACCCTATCAGCTCATCAAACATATCTCGCCCTTGGTAGGTACTACTCCACACCAGTCGAAATTTCAAATCTAGCCGAATTATCGTCAGCTTCAACCGTCGCCAGACAAAAGACGGAAAGTCAAGTGAAAACAAACGTACCACCAAGCAGTCGACAGCGAAATCTCGTATCTTCTCAACGAAGCTATTCATCCTTGTTCCGCTACCTTACTTCTTCGCCGCAGCTCCGCCATCACCGCCCCCAGCCCGATTCTTACTCGAAGCCGATGCGGAAGCAGAAGAGCTCGAACCCGCGCCGTTCCATCCTCCCATATGCTGTTGCTGCTGCTGCTGCTGCTGCTGCTGTGACTGTTGTTGCTGCGCCATCTGTATCTGCATCTGCCGCTGCATCATCGCTCTTTGAGCCGAGGCCCCGTAATCACCGCCATCATTCTGAACGGCGAAGCTTGCCTGGGCACCAGCACTAGCAGTGCCAGCACCTGCACCTCCAGCAGATCTCGGCTTCTTCTTCTTTGCGAATCCTCCCAGGTCCGTGGTATCGTATCCGCTTCGACCCATTCTGTTCCTCTCTCCTTGTCCTTCCCTTTGCCGCGGCGAACGTCCTTTACTACACGTAGTTCGTGTAATTATTTGGTCGAGTGCGCGTGTTGGTGAAACCTTGCGGACGTGTTAGAGATCCTCTCTCCCCCTGTATACACGACTTTCGACAGAAAGGGAATCCGGTTCCCAAAATGGTCAAGTCGACTAAACCGGCCCCGTATGCGCCAGCTGAAGTCGTGTCTCTTCCAGTCTCCTTCCGGATACTGAAAAGAGAGCGCTTCTTATTGAAAGATAATAGCCCAGTCTGTACGGGGTCGATTTCCTCTCGTATATCGATTCGAATCAGATTGATAGGAATGAGTGGCGTTCAGCGCGGGCGCGGTCGTAAAAGAGCAAGGCCCCGGCACCCAGATATCGTCTCGTAAAGTATCGTGTGTTTGCTACTTTCTCTTGCGAATGACATGGTCTGAGTGGATTTGCCTCAAATTTCTGCTCAAGGTTAAACAGCGACAGGCAGGCTCAATAATGACTCTGTTTACAGTAGGCTTGAAGTCAAGAAAGCTGGGTTGATGGTGGCTGATTGTTTGATTTTGACCGTTGATCCCCCCCAAATATCACGAATGGAAGTGTGTGGATATGGAGTTGAGTTTGGGTGTGTATGTGTGTGTGTGTGTGTGTGTGTGTATGTCTTGTGTAATGACAAAAGTCGCAGAGCCAAGCAACATCTACGACCTCCACGCGTCTTTCCCCTTTGCTTTATACGGGCCAAGTACCAATACCAGAGTGGCAAGTCACGTCTTGCTTATCTTGCTGCTTGCTCCAAAAGGGACCAAGGTTGCGAAATTTGTCCCAGACTTTCTTGTATTTTGTTTGCCCGTCACTGACTCAGCCTGTCTCAGGAAACTTTTCCTTGGTGCCACTAAGGTTCGCCAGAGAAAGGGAGATGGATAGGGACGTATTCCTCATTGTTGTTGTTTTTGCTTTTTCCTCTCCGCCCTCCCGCCCTCTCCCCTTTCCTTATTCCCGCCCTGACGAACTGCAAACACACTGTCGTTGTCCTTTTTCGCCTAGGAAAGAGAGTGAGACAACCTCACTGGTATTTGTTGAGCAAGGGAGGTACGTCTGCATTGGCATGTCTCCCCATACCCCTGGCCCCCAGGCTCCTCCTCCCCATTGTCTGGATGGACTGACACAAAGTTCCGAAAGACAATAGACCTGAAAGAGACATGCAACACAGACGCTGTCAAACTTGTCAAACTTGTTAGATCATTCGCAAATCTCGGGGAGACCACGGAGATGAACCCGGCTGGGTGGTCAAATGGGGCACGGCTGGGATTGGATCGGGACCCGCTCCGCGAGCATGACGTTCCCTTGGTAAATTCCATTCAAGAGGCTCAAGTGAGACGTTCTTCGTTCCCCTGCGATGATCGCGATGGTGAGGGATGAAGCTCGCCCCCAATGATTCAGAAGGATTCGCTCGTTAGACATCAAAAGGGCGATAAGCACTTATAAAGAGCCTCCAGGAGTCAGGGCTCGCTAGTCAGGCACAGCGCCACCAGGAAATGTTGTCTCATTCCTTCATGGGAGGGAGTCCTCGAAATCATTCTCCTGTGGTTTTGGAAATGCGTTCATCAGCGATGAGATCTGCCTATTCCAGGCGACAAACCGAAGGGGCGGTTACTTCCACCACGGCCTTAATCCAAGGAGACGTCGAACCGAAATATCGATGCTTGGTGTCTCCAATTCCGAGACAGATTTCCTGGCGCCATCTTGCCGTGTGTTCCAGCACCGGGTTGGCCGCGGCGGATGGTCGAGTATTCTTCTGAATACCCCAAATCTATTATGTAGCATCTGCCAAAGGTAGAAACTTGGCGCTCATAGGAAGAGGAAGTGTATTAGGATTGGAATGAGGTCCACCAAAAGAAATCATCTATACAAAGATGTACAAACTTACGCCATTCATCCACGCCAGAAGCAGGCCTACAGGTCTTGAGAGCTTCTTGACAAGAATTGTCACAAAGACCCCCGACATCTGTACTGCAATTTGCTAATCTCCGCTATCAAGGCCGGTTGAGCCGTGACGGAAAGTCGCTCATTGCTTCGTCCGTTGTCCATCATCCATGGGCTTGACAGCTTCCTTTGGTCTATCGTTCGCCTCCTCCTTTGCTTCAGCTCGATGTTGGGCGAAAGCGTCTCTGGTGGTCCCTATTAGTGAACCAACTCCGAGATCCCAAGCAGCGGGATCAACGAGGGTTATACGTACCTGAGGATGTTGCGGCAGCTGGGTGAAGGCGTACTATCTGTCGGTGAACATAGGTAAGCCTTGGTTGGTTGAGGATCCTGCACTGCCGTGGCATCTCGCTCATCAGACAGCTCCGAGTCCTCGCTCTGCAAGTTTTGTCTCGTCTGTTCGTGGCCGTATGGTGACTCGTGACCACCTTTGCTCTTCTTCTCGTCCCGACCAAGAAGTCGTCGAAGCCTAGCCCGAAACCCTCTCTTCTTCTGCTCCTCCTTCGCCGCCCTTTTCTTCGGCTTCTTGCTGCCACGGCGCCGCGGGCGCTGCTCAGAACCAGAAGAAGGTTCTGAAGAATCCCAATTATCCGCCAAGATATTCGGCGGCAGCTCCAGGTCCTCTTTGGACGAAAAGGGCCCCCGGGACTCGGTCGATGCCCTCGACCTCCGCGTCCCCCGAGACGACGTCATTTGCGACATGAGCATGGCCTGCTTCTTTTTCATCGATCCCATGCTCCAGTTGGATTGAGAATGCAGCCTTTCCAAGGACGCCAAGAAGGGCTGACTCTTGCCGCTACCGCGGCTGCCCTCGCGGCTGTGTAGTCTCTTGCTCTTATCTTCTCGGTAGGTGGAAAAGGGCGGAACGATTGGTGGTTCGTTCCAGGACGCAGGGCTGGGTCCGGCCATTGTATTCACCAGCGAACTTTTGGGGGTATTTTGGTTGGTACATGTACTCGTAGTGATGTGATGTTTCGTTGCTTCAAGTCAGGCGGAATACAGGATGTTGAAAAGGGTGTATGATGGATCTGGAAGCTCGAAGCTCGGAGCTCGAAGCAGGTGACGTCTTTGGGACTAATGTACCTAGGTAATCAGAGGTAAGCGAGGTTCTCAATGCGATGCTCCTTCATGGAAGGTCAAACGTACTGAGAACCTGCCCCGATCGCGTCGAGTGCCGAACTGGGGGAGGCGAGGCTCCAACCGAGGCAGCTAGCAAGACTGTCGCTGCCATTTCCATTGGGAAGCCGTGTTGTACACAGAAAACAACACTGAAAAAAAAGATACCGTAAGTAAGTATCCATTACCTTGCAGAAAGCGGCACTATTCACAACATCATACGCAACTGGAACTGCAACGTCAATCCTGTCATTGATTCATACTTATAAAATAGACGGGCAAGTAGATTCGCACCGAGGTGTCATCAGCCGTACAGACAAATCCTCGCATCAGAGCCGTGAAATAATAGCAATACCCAAATACTCCTCCCCAAGGGCCGTGAGACCGTGATACATACGTTCAGGAAGCCACCAAACTCCTATATCCTTGTCCAACTGAACATCATTAATACGCTTCTCAAATTTTCACATCCACGTCAAATCCTCAAGGCCAGCGACTGGGGCCAATGATCTCGCCAGGTGCTACTTGTGTCCTGATTGCCGTTCCCTTCCAGTCCATCGTTTGAAATACGTCGACGTTACCCCACCATTGTGGTGGCCTGGCGGATGTGAGGTATAGCGTGAAGAAGATGATGAGCGTGGCCACGATGAGGCCGCAATCGAGAGCCGCCGAGGTAATGTAGTTGTATTGCAACCACCAGCCGGTGTAGCGACGCTTAATGAAGAAGTTGAAAATGGTGCCGACAAGCGCCCAGCAGAGGTAGATGTAGACACTGGCAGGGGGAAGCCAGCCGGAACCGCCGTACAGGAGGGGGGTGTTGACGTAGCGCCAGATGCTCTTGGGCCACTTCCGGGCAAGGAACCAAGTGATGACTGGTGTGATGGCGCCAACGAGCCAGAACCACTGGAGAGAGGCGTACAGCGCTTGGCCGGAAAAGATGCGAGCGGGGCCGATCGCACCCCAGATGATTGATGCGGTGAAGAAGACGCGACCACCGGGGCAGGTGTAGCTGTTGGGCTGGTCCGGCTGGCAGACGTCGGGGATGGTGCCGAGGGCCCAGTTCATGACAGCAATCTGAACGATAGCTGACCAGAGCGACGCGACAAGCTGGGAGGCGAACATGGTACGAGGGGGGACCTTCATGTAGTGACCGAGCTTGAGATCCTGCGCAAAGTACAGCGCTTGCGACATGCAGATGTAGCCGTAGTTCTTGAACATCATCATCGCAAGGGGGCGGCCCGGCACCATGTAACCGATAATGAACTCGGTCAAGACGTTGAGGCCGAGCTGGATGTTGGTGATTGCCTGCACGATGCCAATAGGAATGAGCCAGAAAACGGGAATCAGAATGCACACAACGTAGGCCCACGCAGGAAACCCAGTTGGCCACCCAGCAACAACACCAAACGAGATGGCAACCATGACGACGAAGAGCGCTGAAAATGATCGTTAGCCTAGGTCAAAGGAGGAGACCATCGACAAAACCTACCCAGATACCACCAGTCCTCAGCGTCACGATACTTCTTCATCAAACGCATGTGCACGTCGTCCTCTTGATGGCGTGCCAGCTTGAACTGACCCCAAATTTCCGTGCCATGGTACAGAACAACGTGGACGACAACGGCAGCTACGGCGGCGAACGACAGGGCGTAGGCCAGAGCGAATTGAGTTGGCAGGTAGAGAGGAGAGTAGTCGTTGTAGGCGGTCTCATTGAACTGCAAGTTGGCGTCGAGGATTCGAGTGACGTTGTAGACGGCGCCGGTATTGTCGAATGATTCGGAGCTCTGTACCGGGAAGTAGTCGGAATACCAGGTTCCGGAAAAGTGGATGCCAGAAGAGACGATAACGAAGAAGATAATGATACCCGCAATCACGTTGGCGATGGCGTGGAAAGGCGGGATCAACGGCGATGTCAGGTAACCTGAGATGACAGTCCAGTCAAATGAGATGGGCATGAGTCCATAACCTGAAAGGCCACCAAAGACCTTGTTGACAATCTCGTTCTTGGGCGCAATCCAGCAGATCCAGGTAAAGTACGAAAGTCCCTGGAAAATCCAACCAGGGAACCAATACCAGATGAAGGCACCGCTGCTAACGATAAGGAACCAGCGGTAGCGGCCGATTTTCCAGCCGTTGGTCTTGGTAGGGTCTGAGCCAGAGTGGTCGTGAAGGGTGTAGAAGAGAGCACAGTTAACCAGGTTCGAGGGCCAAATCATGGCAGAGGGCCACACAAGGAAGCGTCGGGCCAGACCGGCCAGACCGTATCCAGTGCAAAGGGTAGTAATGCCGAAGAGCAACTGAAATGCCCAGCCAAAGTGCTGCTTGTAGAAGAGCTGCTGTGCAAGCAAGACATCGGTCGCGTACAAGACACCACCTCCGTACGCAGCCTAATAATCATAGTCAGTTCTGTCGTTGATCTTTTCTCTCCAAGAAGCCTCTGTGGCCTCGACTCGAAATCTTGGCTGCTGCTATTCTCCAATCTGGAGTATCGACAGGGCCCCGCTCCTGATAAAAATCGTCCGAACTCACATTAGACATGGCCACAATGATAACGTGCTCCTTGTAGTTGAAACGGCCGGGTTTAAGGTTGAACTTGACACCAAAGACATTCTGCTCCTTGTCGGGCATGACTAAATCCCAACCCAGACCAATGGGATAGGCGATGAGTTGGACGACATAGGTGGTGATGGTGACGCTAGGGTTGCGGAGTGAGAAGAGCATATTGACACCGGAGCCAACCGTGCAAAGAAGCATGCCGATGACCCATGCGCGAATCGTATTTGCTGGCAAATCGACATCGTAATTCCGTACTACAGCGCGGACCTTTGTTGCGGCAGCGCATCATGTCAGCGACTTGAACGAGTTTCTCATCTGGCCTTTTCCCTCTGCCTGTCCGTCCCACCGCGATACTGGCTCTCGAGGCCTGGGCGGAGTTTCGCGACGTACCTCTGGATAGGGCGAGTTGTCCTCCATAAGAGCCTGTTCAATCTCGAGACCCTTCTCGGCGTTTCCGGTAGCAAGCGCGGTATCGACATCGTTGAGCTCATCAATTGGCATATTCGGATCGAGCTTGTGTGCCTTCTCGAATTGAGCGAGAGCCTTCAGCGGCTCGATGCCCGTGGCCTCGGCATCGTCTTCGAGGGCGGGGTAGGGCGTGATCTCCTCGGGTTCGCCACGTTTGCGAAAAATGGACGGCATCGTGACGACTGTGCCTCTCTCCTTCACTCTACTGTCGACGGAGTAGATTGAAAGGTGAGGGTTTAGGTACGCCGATTGCGGATGGACTGGAGAGCGACCGACAAGATAAGCAAGAGGACGGAAAGAAGGCCCCAAGGCCACAACGGGGGAGACTGGGGACAGCGGGCGCCAAGGGCTTTTTCAATCAAATCAAGCGAAAAGATGGCGGCGGCGGCGGCGAAGGTGGTGCCGGTCGGCAGTCTGCAGGCTAACAAGACACCAAGACAATGTGACAAGGTAAGGTCAGCCCGCCAGACGAATCAAAGTCCCACTCTCCAAAGATGTTTAGATTGAACACCAGCAAGAGGCAAGATGGCTTCAAGCTCTCTGTGAACTTGTGAAGTAGCCCCTAGGGATTCTGCAGAGTCGAGTGTGTGTGCCAGTTGTGTGTTTTTGGGTTAAGATTGGCAGCGTCGAAAGAATGGCGCACTCAACGATACCCATGAGTCGACTCTCTACCCTCACTATCCCGTATCTATCCCCCCCAATATCGTCCCGTGTATGTGTGTGTGTGGGTTCCTCTTTGGGGCCTTGTCGGCGACTTGCGGCGCTGGAAGGGACGGGGGACCCAAGGGGACTAGAAAGAAATCGGACCTCTAGCGTGCTATCACGACACCAAATGCAGCGGCGACGCGACAGCCCGCAGGCCCAGCGGCCGTTTGTCGACCTTCCTAAATTGGGGTAGCGACATCCGAGGGGCTGTGGAGGAGGCGAGGGGAAAAGAAGAATGGTTCGCCGGGGACATGGTGACATTGGAAGGACAATGGGCGACAATTCTGATCCACACCTCTCAAGCTCTAGTACAACTCGGAGCCGGGGGACACCTAAAGCTGACTCTCTGTTGGTCCAGAGTCGACGCCTCGGTGGCTCGATACCTGCTGGTCTGGCTGGCTGGAAAGACGAAAGGATTCTAGCTGTCCGGCTTCTTCCCACTTCGAGCTGCTCTGCTTCCCACCCTTTGTCCGCGAAACTTGGGGATCAGCAGATCACAAAGTTGCCGATGTGCCCCTGCCACCGATCCGGGAGTTGGTGCATGCTGCTGATCGTCCAGGAGCAAAAATTGGGGGGACGAACAATTGGCGAACCAACTGCAAACAGCTTCGTCTGATATCTGGAGAGTCCGTACTTTGGCACGTTTAGCCTTGTCATCGTTCCCGCAGTTCAAGCAAGTATCCGTACGCCAGGCGAGTGGTCGAAGATTGTCCAAGTGCCAGGCCGCTTGTCCCAAGGGTCCTGGGCTCTCGGTCTGGATGAAAGCCACAGCTGCCAGCGTGCCAATGCTAGAATGCCACTGTAGCCGTCCATTCGGCCTGGCCGCAGCCATTGCGCGAGACTTGGCGAGTCACTGCAACGGGACTTTGGTCGAATTGAGCCGTATCGACCAATCACCAGTCACTTTTTTTCGGCCGGGAAAAGCCGTGCTTTCTGGGAGAACCTGGCTTATCTTTGGTTGGTGAATGAACCAATGTGATTGAAGACTGGGAAGCCCCCGTCAGTGCTAACAATCTAATCTTATTTCCGATGGTGTCTTCTCCCGCTGTCGTCGGTCGATGAAT